GAAATCTGGTGTGTATCTTACCCTCTCATAGCACATCTCTATTTGGACCAGCTGGATTTCAAATGTTCAGTGAAACTGTAGCAGCTCAGTTAAGTTTGAGCCATTTAGTGTAAGGCTGCCAAATAAAAAGGGCAGCCAGCACTCACTACTCTCCATAAGCCAAGCCTCTGCAAAGGCTTTATATGCATTTAAGTAAATTATTACAGTTGGGTGCAGTGGTACATGTCTGTAATCCCAGCACTCAGGGTGATTGAGGCAGGAGAATCACAAGTTTGAGGCCATCCTGGGCTATATAGTGAGTTCAAGGCCAGTCTGGACTACACAGCGAGATCATCTCAAAAAAAAAAAAAAAAAAAAAGACCAGGATGCAGCTCAGCACCACAGCACCAGCCTGGCAAGCTTGAGGTCCTAAGTTTGATCCCCGGTACAAAAAAAAAATTACCACAGTAAAAGACACACTGCCATTAACCTCTCCTCAAAATACTCCTCCTTGCTTTGAACACACTTATCCCATCATTCCTGCCACTGTCTGAAGCAGTTCTAGAAGTTCTCTTTTTTTAAAATTTGATACAAGGTCTCACTATGTAGTCTAGGCTGGCCTTGAACCTGTAGTGAGCTTCCTACCTCAGCCTCTCAGTGCTGGAATTGCAAGTATGAGCCACCATGTCCAGCTGAAGTCCTTTTTTGGGAGTGTCTTTTAAGAGGTGTAATAAAAAATATAGTGAATGCTCCTGCTGAGTGTGATCCAACAAAAAGGCAAGGTTGGAAAAACATGAATGTGTCCCTGTCCGCCTTATTCGATGGATACGGCACCATGTGCTTCTGGCTCCTCCCCAAAATCAAAATGACCAGGAAAGGTAAATTTTTTTTGTTGTTTTTTTTGGGTTTTTTTGGTACTGGGGATCCAACTTGGGTCCTTGCACTTGCAAGGCAGGCGGTGGAACCACTGAGCTAAATCCTCAGCCGGAAAGGTAAATGTTTTGAATCAATTCAGGACATCAAAGTACAACAATGCATCTAAAGACACTCATGAAAGATGACTTCTAGAACTACTTCAAGAAATGGCAAAAACAATGGGATAAGTGTGTTCGAAGTGAGGGGGAGTATTCTGAGGGGGATTAGTGGCAATGTGTCTTCTACTACAATAGATTTTTAAAATATATTTTTTAACATTAACTGTATTTTTTGATAAACAACTATGATCTCCAAGGTCAAGTTCTGCCCATTGAAGTTCACCCAATCTGTAGCAAAGGAACTGAGGCTTGCATAGAAAGGACACAGCAGAGAGCTGGGCCCTAACCATGCTGGGTCCTTCCTGCTGCCCCTACCTGGGTCAGATCTTGAGCCAGGTGCTAAGGATACCTCCCAATTAGACAGCACATGCTCTGGGCGATGTGGGAGGGGGCTGGATGATGTGGGGGTGGGAGGGATGAGATCTCTCACAGGACCTACCTCTGCAGGTGAGAAACCCTACATCTGCCCCTACGAGGGCTGCAACAAGCGCTACTCCAACTCGAGTGATCGCTTCAAGCACACTCGCACCCACTATGTGGACAAGCCCTACTACTGCAAGATGCCAGGCTGCCATAAGCGCTACACGGACCCCAGTTCGCTGCGCAAGCACATCAAAGCCCACGGCCACTTTGTGTCCCATGAGCAGCAGGAGCTCCTGCAGCTGCGCCCACCCCCCAAACCGCCACTGCCTGCCCCTGACAGTGGCCCCTACGTCAGTGGGGCCCAGATCATTATCCCTAACCCTGCTGCCCTCTTTGGAGGCCCCAGTCTACCTGGCCTGCCCCTGCCCCTGGCCCCGGGCCCCCTTGACCTCAGTGCCCTGGCCTGTGGCAATGGTGGGGGTGGTGGGGGTGGAGGGAGCATGGGCCCTGGGCTGCTGAGCCCCGTTCTGCCCCTCAATCTGGCCAAGAACCCACTGTTGCCCTCCCCCTTTGGGGCTGGTGGACTGGGCTTGCCTGTGGTCTCCCTCCTCGCTGGCTCCGCTGGCGGCAAGGCTGAGGGGGAAAAGGGTCATGGGTTGGTGCCTGCCAGGGCCCTGGGTATGGAGGGCCGCAAGACTCCCCTTGAAAGGACGGAGAGCATTCGCTCCCGGCCAAGCCCTGATGGACTCTCCCTGCTGCCGGGCACTGTGTTGGACCTGTCCACGGGCATCAGTTCAGCAGCCAACAGTCCAGAAGCACTAACCCCTGGCTTGGTGGTCATCCCACCAGGCTCTGTGCTGCTCAAACCAGCCGTGGTGAACTGAGCTTGTCTGCCCACCACCTATGCAGTGCAGCCAGCAATTCCAGGCCCCTGCCCGACAAACAGAAACTCTTCTGCGAAACAGCAATAATATTCCACTGCCCTGGGGCCTGGTGGTTGTGTTCCCCAGGCAGCTGCAGCCTCAGATGAGGGGGCAGCAGGGATGGTGCTAGAAGGTCACCGCTGGCCTTCCGGCTCCCAAGTGAGGACCTGGACTTGCCATCCAAGGAGAGCCGTGTTCTTGGGTGCTGAGGCCTCACTCACCTCTGGCCTCCTGCCTCATAGTTTCTGAGGGCCCTTTCAGCCCATCCTCCACCCTGTCTTTCTTGACCTCCTACCCTGGTGCTTCCTTCATCCTGTGGCTGACCTTGGCAGGTCACCTTCCCTCCCTATTTTGTCTACTTACCAGCTAGGGGCCAGCAGAGCCTGCTGTCCAAATCCCAGCAGTGGGGGTGGGTAGGGTAGCATCTACCCTGCCTTCTGGTGTCAGGCTCCCTTGCCACTCTCTTCATGTGAGCCATAGGAGGAGTCCCCAGGGGTAAGAGGTCCTCCCTCACCTAGGCTCACCCAGCCCCTGCCCCAGCTTCTTGACCCCTTTCCCTCTAGCCCAATCCTCTGGAGGGAGAGCAAGATAGACGCAGGCCAGGCTAAGCCACAGGAAGACACCTCATACTCTCATTCTCCCTTCCTACCCCTATGACAAGGTGCCTCCCTGACTACTGGAGAGGGAGGCCTGCTTGGTCAGCTGCCCCCACCCCTCGCCCAGCCTAAAACAGACAGCACTGCCAGAAGGTTGGCTGTACTAGAAAGAGAAGGAATAGTTGACCACTCACCTGTCCCTGAACCTGGGATCTCTTCCCTCTGCCTTTTGGGCACACTGGAAGTATGGGAAATAGGTCCAAAAGATCTAGCCCTCTGGCCCAGCCTGGGCTCCATCTCCACTGGTCCAGCACTAGAAGGGAGACTGTGGGACACCTCAGGCCAGGAGGTAGCTCCAGGTCTGGGGATATCAAATCATGGCATGCTGGGGAGGGCCTGAAGAGAGGGAGATTTCTAGTAGAGGCCATGGACTGAAGGTCTTGGGCTTGGGGGAGGCCAGGCCTGGCCCCTCTGTTGAAAAAGCTGGCTAAAGGAACCTGACTTGGGACAGGATTGCCTCCTTTAGCTTTTCCCAGCTGAGCTCTTTTCCTAGAGGCAGAGTCTCCACTCCACTCCACTCCCACTCAGCCAGATCCCTTAGAATTTGTGCTACTCAGAATAGAGTCTAGCTGTTCTTCAGGGGCTAGAATAAGTCAAGGACGCTGGAGACGTGCTCCACAGGCCCACCACCCAATCCCAGGAAGTTGGGCCCTGCAACTGTTGTAAGCCCACCACCACTACCACCAGGCCTCTTGCTGCTCCCTCTCTGTCAGCAGCTGGGAGCTCTGGCTTCTAGGCCAACCCTGCCACTAGACTCCAGTGGTCAAGCCCCTCCACCCCATCTGCAGAACAAAAGAGCTGCCAGGTGGCAGTGAGGTCCTCAGTAGCCCCACACTTCCTCTGAGCAGCTCTGCTGACCCCACCCTTTGCTAGACTGCCCTTCTGCCCCAGAGGGGTCACCCTGATCTGGCCTGCCTGGCTGCTGGGCCTAGGGACTCCAGCCCTGACGGCCTGGCCATGTTAGCTCTGCCCCTTGAAGGGGCTGTGAGCAAATAGGAAGGAGCTGGTCTCCTTTCTTTAGGTGCCACCCAGCACCCAGGTAAACACCCACCCCACCCCAGTCCCTGTCAGGGTCTCAGGCCTTAAGTCCTTGGCTGGGGGGTTATGGGCTTGAGACTCAGGCCCAGGAGCAGAGGAACAGGGCACTGGAAGGTGATATTAGCTCAGCATGTGATTCTGTGATAGACCAGGCTTGGAAGGGCCGGTAAACTTTTTGTTGTTGTCAGTTTGTTGTTGCACATTCCAGGATATCAGTATTTTAACAGGTTCTAAGTGCCTTTCTATTGTAGCTTATGTTTTTCCTCTTCTTGGCTCCACTGCTGTTAGCATAGAGTTTAAAAAAAAGAGATAAGCTAATGACTATAACAATATATTCCTCCATGTGAGAGGAAGTTTATAAAGAAACAATAAAAGTGAGTTACAAAGATGGTTTCTGTGTCATGGACATGCCAGGAGCTGGACTCCCTAACCCCAGGCCACCCCATCCTATGACTGGCTGTGGGGTCCCCCAACTAGCACCAAAGACCAAAACCAAGGTCTTTCTTCTGGACCAGACAGGTGCCACCCTCTACATGTGGCCAAGAGTGCTTAGGGGAGATAGGCGCCAAGAGCAGAGCAGAGACAGACTCGACTGTGCACATTACAAGGTTCAGGTCCTCAACCTGCACTGCCTGCCATGAATGGTGAGTGGCACCTCAGTCTAGTGAACTAGGTGCTGAGCATTCTGCCCAACTCTCCATGATGCCAGATTCAAGCCCAGCCCAAGGACTTCTGGCCAGGGGCTCCTTTACTCTGAGGGGAGGGGAACCTAAAGATGGTGACTAGATTTCCATCTTGCAGGTACTGGAAGGAGCCAAGCACTGGGAGCAGGAGGAGTTTTGTGACAGGTCTTGGCTCTCACGTGGGCCATGAGCCAACCCCAACCCTCACCCCACCCTCTGGGCTATCAGTAGTTCCTGCCTCCCATCCCAGCATAGTCCTACAATCTCTACAACAGCAGGAAGAACAACCTGCCCTCTAGAATTGGGATACACGCACAAGAGAAATGCAGCAAAGACATTTATTACCAAGCTATAAATTAAAGAGGCTGTGGGGTGGGGTTGGGGGAGGCAAACAGTCATGTTTTAGGCATCTGCCCTTTCTCTCTGTCCTCCTGGGCCTGGATTCTGAGTTCCTCATCCAGGCGCTCCTTTGCTCGGACAACCTGGGGGAAGTCAGGAGATCAGGCTCTGCCCTTTGCCCCATGGCTGCATGGCTGGCCTCTTCCCTTCCCTCCTAGAGGGCAGTGGATAGAGTATGAACACCTCCTTAGGCAGTGTCCCAGGGTGAGGAGCAGTCTGGACAGCCTCTCCCCCACGAGAGCCCAGCACCTGGGCACCTGCACTGCTGTAGCTGGAGTGCTAGGCTGTGTACACCACCAGTGGCCGCTCCACTGTTCCTTCAGCTGAGCCCTGTGGAACTGGAGCAGCCATAGGGAGTGGTAGTTTAGAAGGTCCTCACTGAGGCGGGGGTACCAGGGAAAGAAAGGCCTGTCAAGCTGCTAAGTGCCAGCTGCCCTGCCTAGAAATGAGGGGTCCAAGTGAAGAGAAGGTCCACAGCTTACCTTCTTGCAGAATCAAAGAGCACTCACCTTTGACTGTAAGTAGAAGGAGCCACCCACGGATTTATCATTCACCTTAAATAGGTGTTCATAGTTCTGTGGGAGAGAGGAGGTGGTGAGCAAGTTCAGTCGAGGAAAGATACCAGGGGAAGCTAACAACAAGGAAATGAAGCTAAACAACTTGACCTCTGCATCCCACGTGCCACATTATATAACTCCAGAAACTGCTATGACTACTCAGGGTCAGAGATGGGACAAGTGCCCAGAAAGGGATAGGCTCAGCTGCTCCTCTCAATTGCCCCATGTCTTTGCAACTGTCCTGTTTGGGGCATAAAACTTAAGCAACACTGGCTCCTCCAAGTGGGAATCTCCAATGGCTGCAGTCAGAGTCTCCATACCCACCTGCCTTTGCCAGCCCCCTGCCTCCACCCCCACTTCCACAAGCCAGTCTGGTGACCTCACCTTCTGGATCTCCTCTGCACTCAGCCTGGAGATGTTAAGAATCTGCTGGGCCTCCTGGAGGCTGAGGCCTGAGAGGTTGGATGCAGCTGCAGACTGGTGTCCTGCACGTCCCCGGGCGTCAGCTGCTGCCCGGCTGGCTGTGTGGACATGGGGTGAGCACTCAGCCCTCAGCAGCCCAGAGGTCCCCCTGGGCCTTCCAAGTGGGTGGCTCACCCCTGCCAGGTGGCACAGAAGAGACACAGGAGCAGGGGTGGCCAGGAGAGGTTCTTCTCCAGTAGTGGCTTCTTTTTGGAGGGAGGTTGATGGGAAAGCAAGGACAGACATGCCTCACTGGATAATCAGGACAGGACCTGACTAAAAACCTTGCTCCTGAGCAAGGCGTGATGGTGCACGCCTATAATCCTAGGACTCAAGAGACTGAAGCAGGAGGATTGCTGCAGGTTCAAGGCCAGCCTGCACTACAATTGAAGACCCTGTCTCAAAACAAACAAAACCTGGCCCCTGGTCCCCAATCTACATCACAAGAAGATCTTGTACCTCTTTTTCCCCTAACCCTCATCTCAGGGGCACAGAAAATTGGGGCACTTCAGGCGAGTATGAGGACCAGAGTAAAGTTAAGAGCAAGTGGAGAGCAACAGCTTGGCCAGTACCTGGCTGTATAGCAGATACTCAGACCACCAAAGCAGACTGCCTTAGGTGACTACTTTCCTTTCAATGACCCTAAAATCAGGAGCCAAACTTTTCCTTAAAAGGTCAGATAGTAGGGCTGGGGATTTAGCTCAGTGGCACCGCGCCTGCCTAGCAAGCACAAGGTCCTGAGTTTGATCCTCAGTACCAAAAAAAAAAAAGTCAGATAGTAAATATTTCAACTTTGCAGCCAAATAATCTGTACTGGAATTGCTCAGCATTCATTGAAAGCCTGAGGGTATGGCTGTGTTCTAATATAACTTTACAAAATTAGGCAGCCAAGTGAGCCATTTTGCCTACTCCTGCCCTGGATGCTCATGCTAACAAGGCCTCAGTGAAGATAAAACTTCCCTTACATGAGACAGTCTCAAATTTGGGCAGTGCCCCGCTACCATGGAGAAGTACCCCATGTTGCCCAAGCTACAGACCCCTAGCCCACAGATGGATTCCTGCATTCACAACCAGCCCAGCCTCAGGAGCTCCCAGCCCAGAGGGAGATGAGCCCAAACTTACCTGCAAATTCCTGCTGCAAGGCTCGAGCAAAGGCTCTACCCACCACCTGTGCGCCCATCACAATGATCTGGGCCAGGTACTTGGCCTGTGGGCAGAGCAGGCACCTGGTCAGCAGGCTGTATTCTCAGGCCTGCAAAGGTAGTACCTGCCCTAGAGATGGCTCCCAAATGGCAAGGCTGCTTGAGAGCTGAACACATGAGGCACTGAGCTGCACCCTCTCGCCACCTCCTCCAAAGCTTCTGCTCTGAGGGGCTTCAGATACTCACTGGAGTCCCCAGAGGTAGGCTAGTCCTCCTACGGCCTATCAGGAAAGGCAGAGAGGAGCCAAGGCAATGTTGCTGGAGATGGAGGGCACAACTTAAGAGAAACCCTGCAGCCTGGCAAGCAGGATGGTCATTTTCCATCTCAGGGCCCAAGATAACTCCTCTTGTGCTTCTGAGATTGGCTGGTCCACCCTCCATTTCACCAGATCCATCTTAACTTTCCCAAGACTGGGGCTGAGGATTTAGCTCAGTGGTTCTGGCACCTCCCTCACAAGCACAAGGTCCCGAGTTCAATCCCTGGTACCAAAAAACAAAACAAAACAAAAACAAACAAACAAACTTTCCCAAGACTATTCACATCCTATACTTGGGAATCCATTCCAGTCAACACAATAAAATTACTAGGATTCACTTATAGCAAGACAATCTTCACCTGTAGGAGCTAAAAGCTCACAGGAGCAAGTTCAGACAACCACTAAGGGCGCAGGGATTGGAGATATTATAGCCAATTTTATCTTCAGCTATTGGTTCAGCCAGTCATTCAAACACTGGTTTAGGGCCTTCATCTATAATGTTCTCTGCTTAGCAGTGGAGTACAAAGACACACAGAACCTGGTCCCTGCACTCTGCACAGGTTGGCAGGGAAATTGGCTGCAGCACAGCAAGGTTATACAGACCTTCAACTTTTGACTCAATGTCCCATGGAGGCACCCAGAGAGTTTTGTCTAAGATGAGACCAGAGGTACAACGTCAACAGAGGGAGCACTCAGGAACAGGACATGGGTGCTGGGAAAAGATTTCCCATTCCCTGAGCTGGGTCCCAATGGGAAGATAGAATTGTGTGAGAACATTAGGGCTTTCTAGGCAGAGGGACAGGGAGGAAAGTATAAGGGACATCCTGGGAGCAGTCAATAGCCTGGCTGGCAAGAGATAAGACTAGAAAGGCAGATGATATGAAAAAACATTGATCTTACTGTTGAATATAAATAATATATAGATAGCATGTATAAAAATGATCCTCTGGGAGACTGAGGCAGAAAAACTACAAGATTGAACATAGCCTGGTCAACTTAGCAAGACTGTGTTTCAAAATATTAAAGGGGGTGGGGCAGTCCTGGTCCTGGGAGCCAAGCATGGTGGTGCAGGCCTGTAATCCTATCATTCTGGGAGGCTGAAGCAGAAGGATCACAAGTTCAAGCCTAACCTAGGCAACACAGCAAACTGTCTCAAAAGATATGTACAGGGCTAGGGATTTAGCTTAGTGGTGTTGCACCTGCCTTGAAAGCACAAGGTCCTGAGTTTGATCCCTGATACCCAAAAAAAAGTATAAGAGGGTTGAGAATATAGCTCAGAGCAGAGGCCCTGGGGTTCAATACCTAGTACTCAAAAAAAAAAAAAAAAAAAAGAGAGAGAGACTCCATGTCTGTCTGTGAAAAGGTATAAATAGTGGAACAGAGGACACTGAAGTATACTCACTGTACTTTTTTTTTTGGTACCAGAGATCAAACTCTGGACCTTGCACTTTTGAGGCAGTCGGCGGCACCACTGAGCTAAATCCTTGCCCCGATGTACTTTTCTTTTTGTACATTCCTGTAGTCAGATTTCTTGTCAGTCAAGTATTGACTGAGCTTGTGTGCTAGGGTGCTGCAAACATGTTCTATTGTTTGTGCCATTTAGTCCCAGTAACTCAAGGGGTTTAGTGACCAGCCTGAGGACACATGGCTATACTCAAAGGAGTGGGGAGGGGAACTCAGGCCTGGTAGACTCTTCATGAAGCCATCCACTGGGTACTGCCTCCACAGGATCTTGGGCCTTGCAGGGAGGCAACTGAGTAAACTGACCAGTATCAGGAACCTTATCAGAGGCCAAAGAGGCACTGTCAGATCCCAGTGGAATTCAGACTCTAGCAGAACTGGCCTTCTTCCGCTTCCAAAGCCCTGCCCTTCCCTAATAGGCAGGATGTGAATATGGGCCATTAAGGGAATGAATAAACAAGTGGATTTCCATTTCATACGTAAGTGAACATTTCATAAGCCCTGGATTTCACACTAGAAAGCAAAGCCCAAAGAAGACCCTTGTGTGATGAAAGGTGGGGAGGGACTGCAGCCAGCTGTGTTGCACATGTAAGGAATAACAGGGCACTTGCTTACTGGGTAATCTCACTTGACTTCTGCTCTTCTTGCCTAAAGCAACTCCCAAGCTGGACAGGAGGCTGAGACAGAATGCTGGTCCTGTTTGACAGGCCATTGGTGTTGACTCCAGACAGCTTTCTTGACCTGGAACACCTTTCAAGGTGACCTCAACTCCCACCTAAAACCTCTGATTCTCTGCTGCCACACACTTATCACCTGGCCTTGTAATTACTGGCTTACTCTTCTGCTGAAACTGATGACTGTTGCTAAATAATGCATGTTAAGAATTGAGCTGCAAGGGTCAGGGATTTAGCTCAGTGGTTCCGCTGCCTGCCTCACAAGCCACAAGCGCAAGGACCCGAGAAAAAAAAAATTGAGCTGCAGAACCAGGGATTTAGCTCAGTGGTTTCACCGCCTCCTGTGCAAGCACAAGGACCTGAGTTTGATCCCCAGTATCAAAAAAAGAAAAAAAGAATTGAGCTGCTGCCAGGTGTGGGAGCATATACCTGTAATCCCAGAGCACTCAGGAGGCTGAGTCAGGAAGATTGCCATGAGTTCGAGGCGAGCCTGGGATATATTAACAGTAAGTTAAGGCCAGCCTGGACTGCATAGTGAGACCGTTTAAAAAAGAAAAAAAAAAAAAATGAGGCTGGAGCCAGGCACGGTGGTATACACTTATAATTCCAGCACTCTGGGACAGAGACAGGAGGATCAAATGTTTGAGTACAGCCTTGGCAATTTAGCAGAACACTGTCTCAAAAGAAGGAAAAACATTATTTATTTATTTATTTATTTTTGTACCGGGGATCAAACTTGGAACCTTGCGCTTGTGAGGCAGGTGCCAGAACCACTGAGCTAAATCTCCACCCCTGTAGTTCTTTTAAAATTTTTTCTGGGCCAGGGATTTAGCTCAGTGGTTCCGGGGTGCCTCGCAAACACAAGGTCCCAAATTCAATCCCCAGAACCAAATAAATAAAGAAAGAACTACAGCTGAAGACAGGGGGTGTAGCTCAGTGGTAAAGCATTTGCCCAGCATGTAAGATTCCCAGCACTACAAAACAAAACAACAATTTTTTAAAAATCCCACTTGAAGCTGTAACTGGGAAACTTCCCCAAATCACCCTTGGTCATTTCAAGCCAAAGTGACATGGTAATCTGCGGTTCCACTGTCCATAGCTACTTGGCCATGGAAAAGGCAGGACTAACCTGCAAAGTGTCAGCAGCTGCCTGGGCTTGCCAAGGGAGCTGGCAGGATGGCTGATGGAGTCTACCAGCGTTCTGCAGGGGCCTCTACCAGGGGAGGTAGTGTAGTATAGCGGTTACACAGGAGGGCTTTGGGATCCCCTGTGTGCAAATTCTGATTGTGTGCCCCATGACAAGTGCTCAAGTCTGAGCCTGTTTCCTCACCTGTAAAATGTGGACAATAATACAGCTGTCACAGAGATTAAATGAGATAATGCCTCTAAGGAGCCTGACAGAGCCTGATGAGATGGTAGGTGATCAATTAGGTATTTATTTTCATTTATTACTGTTGGATTTACAAAATCTAGCAATGCCCAAACAGTGTGGGAAAAAAAAGTTTCTTCTAATATAGCAGCTCTTTGTTTTTTCGGGTTTTAGAGACAGGGTCTCGCTATGTAGTTCAGGATTACCTTGAACTCTCTTTGTAGCCCAGGCTGGCCTCAAACTCACAGTGATCCTCCTGCCTCAGCCTCCAGAGTGCTAGGATTACAGGTGTGTGCCACCACGCCTGGGCCACAGAAGCTCATTTGCTATAGCCCCTTTGATTCCTCAAGGGTAAAGACTACACAACACAGTATTATTCCCTAGAGAGCTGGGAAGCAGAGGAAAGAGAATGTTGATCCAGACTGGAATCCTAGCTTTGCTTCTCACTAGCTATATCACCCTGGGCAAACTACCCACCCTTTTGGAACTCAATTTTCTTACCCTCCTTATAGGAGGTAAGGTGCTCCGAACAGTTTTGCTTCCAGGACAGACCCTCTTTGGTATTGGTAGTCTGGGGATCAGGCAGCCAAACCTCTCACCCACCTACCATAAGTGATGGAAATGGCAACTGGTAAGGCTGGGGGTGGTGATGCATACCTATAATTCCAGCACTTGGGAGGCTGAGGCAGGAGGATCATTGTGAGTTCAAGGCCAGCCTAGGCTACACAGTGAGTACAAGGCCAGCCTGAACTACATAGTGAGACCCTGTCTCAAGAAAAAAAAAAAGGGCCTGGGATTTAGCTCAGTGGTTTTGCCGCCTGCTGAGCAAGCACAAGGACCCAAGTTCGATCCCCCATATGAGAAAAAAAGGGGGGGGGCAACTGGTAAGGACACATCCAGGAGATCCCCAAACACTTCAAGCCAAGCATTAGGTAGAGAGCAGAAGTCAGAGGTCAGAGCCACAGGACTCTAACCCTGGACTCACCATGTGCAACACATATATTTATTGTCTAGGGAGCAACTTGGCACAATGCAGCACCAAAACCCACAGCTGGGTAAAAGACCACAGATAGCACTGGAGGGCACAGACTTATCTCTTGAAAAGTATATCAAGAAGGGAAGCCATGTGCGGTGGCACACGCCTGTGGTCCTACCACTTGGGGGGCTGAGGCAGGAGGATCGCTGAGAGTTCCAGGCCAGCCTGGACTATGAAGTGAGACCCTGTCTTAAGAAAAACCAAAAAA